GCGTCCCACCCGAGCCTCGAACTCGCTACTTCTTTGATGAGAGTCAAACGCCCTAACCAGTAAGCCAATGGCTGATGACGCCTAATAAACCCGAAATTACCATTCCAGTCTCTCTTATCCTTACGGCCAATACTATCTACATAAACTACCAACTGCTACGGCTGTCAGGGACTCTGTCGAGGCTCTAGGCAGAGCGGGACAAATGAGCTCCGTTAGCGGTCGGGTGAATGTTCATCAATGAATGATCAGCATTTCCCTTAGTGGCTTCTTCTCACGAACTTGTCTGCTGACGAAGCTAAACAATCCGCCTATGCATACTGTACACGCCTTGTCCTCACACAATGGACCAGAATAGTGCACAAACTACCAAGGGGCAGCTCAAATCCTAAGTACAGCCCAACTTTCTGTCTTGAAAGGAGGACCGATTTATGCCGTCAGTCGACAACCTTTCATGCGACGGCATTTAGCAAACTGTGAGAGTTTAGAGGCGCGTTGCATTTTTTACAGGGATGAATACGTATTGAGTGCAGTTGAACTCAATTCGTTCTCCTTTTTAAAGGCGGTTACTTAATTTATGCCGGAATTGGACGCGATGGCTGGTAGACCCGAGCAGTTCGTATACGCGAGTCACGCACGATACAGCCGTTTTTCCCGTAGAAGGGAGTTTTTAGTTTTCATCTCAAATATATGAGTGCTATAGAGGTCACATTAGGAAGTAGTCAGTGAGCCTGACTCCCAGTCCTCGATCCAATCACTCCATTTGCACACAGTGCTGACAGGAACAGAGAGTTATCAATTCATCTGACAGCCCTACAAGCCATGCATTTTGGCGCATAGTGATAATTTTAAAGCAAAGCTGATTTTTTATAGTGAAGAAAGCGCCGACATTCCTACTTGCCCACAAAACCGTCTTCGTAGAATCCAAATTTGGCCTAAATTAGAGATGCCTCGAGGGCTTTATCAAGAACACAGCCATTACAGTCTGACCCTCAGTTCGAAAGACGACAGAATTATTCTACTAGTTGGTATTAATCCATGTAGATGTGACACCTATAGTTTATAGTGATAGTGGATATGATCGACATTCCTCGCACTCTCTCCTCTCCAACACCGTCTCCCCCCCCTCTGTCTGGTGTCAAGAGGGCTGACGAACATATACAGCCCATCGACACGTGCTACGCATGTCTGGTCGAGGCACAATGGATCAGGCTAGTGATTCGAATATCGTTAGACTTGTAGCTGTCAGAATAATGTGATTTACCGCTAAAATTTTGGAAATCAACTGAAACTGTAGCTTGAATACTGGAGATTGAACAGAGAAGTTTGGTTCCAATGATTATATTAAACTTCGTTTATTATCCCCCAAACAGTTATACATCGTCTTTCATAGTTAGGTCTTGCGAATATAGCTGAACGAATGCAAAGGCAATGATAACGACTGTCAAAACTGCCAGAAGAGAGTAGTAACTTCAACCATTTCCATGTGATCATCAAGGACGCAGAGCTGATGGCCTAACGCATGACACGTCATAATGGAAATTTGAGGGGGCGGTTTAAGACATGTTTGAAGCTGTTATTTTTGTTTGCTGAATTGACTTGAGGCAAAACAAGCTGGCTACTAGAAAAGAATTCAGTTCAGGTCAGTGTTCTGAAGAAAAAGGTGGGCTAAATTAGGTCACCTCCATCAAAACTCAACGACTTTTCTATGTTATTTAACGCTGCGGATAAAAACGTCTTGTTTACGCGCGTAGTACTATAAAAGAACATTAATAAAAGTCGGAAAAGTTTTAATCTTTTAAGAGAACATAATTTTCGTTTTATTTTCGTGAAAAGCAGGTAAACGCAAGTATGAGGAGTCGCGTTGTTTTCGGGAAGAGAAAGGTGGATTCAGTTTAAAAAATTCAGTTTTACAACTCTGGTACGTTTTTTGCCATAAAAGTAAGTAATAAACTTGTGCAGCCTTATTTTGGTCTACCACACCGAAAATAAATACTGTAAAAAATCATATATATAAACACCCGTAACATGTTGTCTTTTTTCTCTGTTACGCCGTATGCAAACGATGTACAAACAATTAGCATCAGTAGCTTATGTAGTCCCCCTCATTAATCCCTAGTCCCAGCATTTTGCCCTAAGAAAATGATGGTTATAGGGTCTTATGGGTGGGGAATTAGGACACGCAATGGAATATACCTTAATAACTGCTAAATAAACTTTAATTTTACTGTATTTAGAAGTGTTTTTGATTTATATCTGTAGATTTCCCTAAT